CTTAGTGTTCTCGTCATTCGCAACATACTTGTAGTAATCGATCATGTAACTGGGAGCTGAAGTCACCGCGCTCACACCTATCACCATGGTGATGCCCATGGTGATGCTCGTGAGAAAGGTCCATGCCTCTGAATAAGAACCAAACTGTGTCATCCTCCAGGAAACCTGTAAAACTTCACCCAGGCGTGTGTTTTCGTTTATTACTACTATTACTACGCTTACTTTCCTTTTGATTCGTCCGCAGGGCACTCGAACTTTTAATTAGACCTTGCAGAGAAAGAAAATAATAATAAATGAGAGTGGTACCGCCATCAAAGACAAAACGTCTTACAGTACCCTCCAAGCAGACTAAAAGCAACACCTGTGCGGCACCTCCACCTCCGCACGCACCGTGCATAGCAAACAACCAATCAAACAAACAAAAACCCGGAACTCAAGCCAAATCTCATTAATAACAAAAGAAAAAAAAATCTTAATGTCTGCGCTGGTTCGGGAAGGATGTTCACGATGAAAAAACACGGCAAGACGCAGCCATACATCGGTTCGGGGGCTTGGGCGCTTGCCATGCGCTCCTCGGCCACCCAGCCCCGCATTTATGGAGGCAAAATTCATAGTAATGAAAAAAGGGCCCACTAGGCGCAAAAACAAAAGCGGGCCCGAGTCGCCAAAGAAAAAAAAAAGAAAAGCACGTCGATGAGCCCAAATCCGAATTGCAGTGCAGAGGGGTCTGTGTAAGTGAGAGAGCCATCCATCCACCGCAGGCCAACACCCGCTGCCCCAGGGGGAGTGAAATGGTGTATCGCGGCAAATGCTGGTAAATGATTTATTCCGCTTCCACAAGGTGTGGAGTGTGACGAAGAGGCGTCCATGAGGATGCGCTCTTGTCTGAAATCTCTGGGGGGCTTTTTGATTCGCTCTCGAAGCCGCAGTACCCACACAACAACGTCACTTACCTCACTGCGAAGTTGCAGGTGCTTCTTTGAAGAACATGGCCAGGCAGTATTCGCATTCTAACGCGTGTGCTGAAGCAAGTGTGTGTCCACTGCTAGTATGCCCAAAACAAAAACAGAAACTTCAGAAAGGGTCAAAAAGTCAAATATCTGATCCATTCCCAGCACTCCACTAACGAGGACACCCTACCCTGGATGAAGAAACAGGCAGACAAGAATGAAAAAACAACTGGGCGAAAAACCTGACAAGCTGCAATGCACTGAGAGTTTTGGATGGAAAACTCCTTCCCCACTGCCGAGTATCCTTCCCGCAAGTAGCTCCCAAGAACCATTCTGAACGGAGAAGCGGCAAATCACACACAAGCGCAACTCCGCCCAAACTTATATTTCGAAAGTAAGAGGGGTTGATAACAACAACATGTTTAAAAGCGTATCTCGACACCACACACACTCAGAATTAAAAAACGAAGCCGAAATCAGAATTTGTAAGCAAAATATTTTCGTATGCACGACCACCAGCTGACGTGAAACAGCTGAGAACTAAAAGGAGAAGATCATTTCGCTATCCTCGCCTTCCTTGGCGGAAGTGGAAGTGGGTGGTGTTGGGTGTGAAGCTTCTTGTGAACACGGTGGCTCCGTTCTTTGCAACTTCGCATCTGGCGCCTTTTCTTTCCCATCCCCCACACGCCCCGCACACTCCCTATTAGCTTCAAACTCTTCGGTTGGCCGCCACCACGGCACGGCATCACCAAGAATTTGATTCGCGGCCCCATCCACGGGCCCTTCAGAAGACAAAGAGAATATAGAACGCCGTTTCCCCTCAACCCGTCTCTTCCTCCGCGGAGGTGCCGCTGCTGTTGCTTTTGTTGTCGTTGTTGCTGTTGCTGTTGCTGTTGCTGCGGTTGCGGCTGCTTCTGCCGCCATCGCTACTGCCGTTGACGTTTTGCCTGCAGCAGCCGAGTCTGCACCATCCTCTGTGCGTGGCCGCTTGGACAGCTTAACGACGTTGTTACCATCGTGTGTAAAGGGGGCGACAACCCCCACAGCCCCGTGCCGTCCATTACAAGGCAAGGCAGAAGCAAACAACTTCTGACGTTCTTCACGCACCGCAGCGAGACTATCGCTTAACGTCGGTTGTGCCTCCGGGGAACTCGGATGTTTTAGCAGGAGGAAGTCCTCCGACTCAATCGCCAGACCTTGACACCTGGATTGCGCGGTCTTTCCACGCGCATGCAGAACTCCATCGTACCGAACCCGAACCCGCCCAAGCTGGTCAAGTCCCTCAAAGCACAAGTCATCCAAAAGACTCCCTGTATGCACTGTGTCAATGTTCACACCTTGCACGAGGACATTGTCGTGGAGACCAACATCCACAAATGCACCAAACGTCGTCACACTCTGCACAACCCCTCTTAACTTGTCGCCGGGTTTGAGGTTGGCCACGTTCTGCGGAGAGCGGCGAAAGAGTCCCGCGTGAGGCAAATCCGAGCGTGGATCAAGGGCGGGTGAGGCCAATTCCCGGGCCACAAGTTCCAGCGTCGCCCCACCACAGCCAACACTACACGCTATCTCCCTGAGTTCCACATCTTTCAGACGAAGGAGAATGCCACCTACATCGCGTCGCTCCTTCCCCTTGTACAGTTCCAGTAACTTTTGCACGGTGATATACGACTCGGGATGGATATTGCTATTGTCCAGCGGATTAGGGGAATTAGGAAACCGAAAAAAACCGGCGACCTGTTGGTACATCCCCTCCGTCATACCTGGAACCCGGCGCAAATCCTCACGGCTCTTTAGTTTTTTCGCACACCGTGCCAAAACAATTTGATCCACAATGCGTTTGGTGATACCCGGAATTTTTTCCATCACGTACCGGTTGGAAATCAAAGCATTCACACCCACACATGTCACACAAGATTCCACCACTCGATTTAATGCACGCAAGAGTTCTACTTCGCTAATGTCATGCTGATACATGCCAATGCCCATAGAACGCACAGGGATCTTAACGAGTTCACTGAGCGGGTCAATAACTCGGCGACCAATACTTACCGCTCCGCGATACATCGCATCGAGAGTTGGAAACTCCTCCCTCGCGACATCTGAGACGGAGTACACGCTTGCCCCCGCCTCGCTTACAATCGCATACTCAACGTTTAACCCTCTCTGTTCAATAGTGTCAGCGACAATGTGTGCCACCTCCCGTGAGGCCGTCCCATTACCTATGACAATTTTATTGAGATTTAATTTTTCGACGCAGCCGCTGATGTAGTCCTTCATCTTGGGTTTATCCATAATGACGCACTTGAAACGAGTTAATACCCCACCATTCTCGTCTAACGCAACACACTTGACACCGTTGGTGACGCCCGGATCCATTGCCAAGATTCTCACATCCCGCATAGGACACCTCATAAGAATATGACGAAGACTGTGGGCAAATACAGCAATGGCCTCCTTTTCAGCACTCTTTTTCAAGTCACGTCGAATGATTGCGTGTGTGGTCTTCAGTATGTGCTCGTATGCAGCCTCAAGACATTGACTTAGTAAGCAAATCGCCTTGGGGTCCTTGTGCCGCTGCAACCCAAGGAACTTTTGTCGTGCCCATGCAAAAAAAGCATCCTTGCTTCTACTGTGAGGAATCATCTTCACCAGAAGCACACCCTTACTCTCACCACGTTGCAACGCCAAGACGTTATGAGCGCTGATGCGTCGCACGGACCAGCGACGATTTTCGTAGGCGGCAAATTGTTTTTTAAGAGTGTCAAAGGCGTCCGCCCCAATTTCCTTGGCATTCTTCTTCCTTGGGGTCGCCACGAGTGCACTGCTGATTACACCGCTCTGTCGACACTCGACCAGCATCAGTTGTCGCACCTCGTCACAGCGCTGCACCTCCTCCACTACAATAGCCTGAAAAAGTTTGGCACCATCTGTAACGGAATGCAAGTGCTCTGACACATCAGCCATTGGATCTGATGTGTACAGCAGTTTTTTCGCAAGAGGCTCCAACCCAGCCTCCCGACCTCTGTGAGACAGGCTTGTCTTCTTCTCCTTAAAGGGCTCCCATGCATCCTCCAACTGATTCAGGTGCACCAGCTTCTCGAAGGCATCCTGAAGCTCCTCTGTGAGAAGACCGCGACTTTTGAGGCTTCTCAGCATAAATGCGCGGCGCCGCTGCACCTCCTGAAGCTCCTCCGCCATGTCAATGAGTTGACGAAGGGCGGTCTCATCAAGGTGTCCGATTTCGTCGCGGCGGTAGCGCGCCAGGAATGGAACGGTAGAGCCTTTTTTCGTCTGTTCTACGACGAAGCGGGCGGTGGCGGGAGAGACAGAAAGTCGGGCTCCGAGGACACGGTACAACTGTCCCTGCATCATCTTTCCCCCGTCCCTGTCCTCCCCAATCGTCGCGCTGCTGGACATACGCACCGTCATACGGTGCTGTATTTTTTCTTCCAAATGCACTGCGGCTACACAATTAATGAGGCGTCGGAGTCGCATTGTAAGAGAGGAGAAAAACAAAACAACAGCGGAGGAAGATTAAGAAACAAGAAGAGGTAGCAAGGGTGTGATGGGGCACAGATAAAAACGCGGAAGGCCCGGCCCCTCTCCTAACTACTTCTTGTTGGTCAATGTTTCCTGTTCCCTTTGCTGCTGCTATTTGAAGTAAGGAAACAGAACGAAAAAAAAAAATGTGAACGAGTAAGCTGCATACACACACACAAACAAACAAAAAAGAAGCAAACAAATCGTAGGTATCAACGACTAACACGGTTATCTTCGAATTGGGCCGATGCAAAGAGTTGAGACAGGGCACCACTTTTAGTGAGTGTCACCAATACAAATGCCAAGATCACAAGAAGGCGCAAGAAGGGGGGGGGGGAGAGAGAGAGAACGACATACACCCACAGAAACAGCAAATCAAAAAAAAAGGCGATGACGTCATTAACCTTTCCAAAAGCGGACTAAAGATTAGAGGCTTGCTCAGTCCGTTGCGATGCAAATGAGTCGTGTGAAGAAGCCACAAACTGCCTGTTTTCTCGGGGCTCCGCCCCTCCCTCCTCCTTTACCTTCGCCGCCGCCGTTATTCTCCTTGTTGGCATCGGTGCGATTCGTTATTTAAAGTCCCTCCATTGCCATGCCCAACACATCCAGCTGAATGATATCTGTTCGTCCCTTCAGCAGAGCCCCCAAGTGGGGTCGCGTCCTTCCCATGTCGCCGTGAACAAATTCCTTCACGTAGGTTCCAGCCTGTGTCTCCAGGTCCATCAGAAACCAATGCGCATTCAGTGGGGTCAGTTGAATTGAGTGAATCATACGAGGGCGAACCTGCATGGAGCGCCGGTGCAGCACCCGGATGGGCGTGCGTTGTTCAATCGTGAGGTCCCGCACTGCATTTGCAGCCTGAAAGTATTCGTCGTGGCTGGGGTCCACAATTGCCCGGCTGCACCAGACAACACAGCGGTACTTCTTCACTTTGCTCTGTGAGTGCCGCGCCAATCTCACGGTGATGTCGGCATCGGTGACGCGCAGGTCCGAAATCTCCACACTACCCTTCTCGCTGTTGTTTACCGCCTCTTCAAATGCGGAAAGATCCCACGACATTACCTGCTGACGACTCGGTGAAATGACCTCCAGCACAAACGGTCTCCCGCCTCCAAGCATGCGCACATCCACGTCTTCACGGCCGGCACTGTGAAATTTGTAGCGTCCAAAGCCAAAAACATGCTGCGCAGCCATCTGATGCGGGTTGCCCTGCCGTTCCTCGGGACGCGGCAAATTCAAACCAACCCTCTCATACCTTGTTCGTTTTTCACTCTGGAGGGCGCTCTCGTGCGCCTCGGCCCCTACCGGCACCGAAGTGACACCCTCGGGAAAGAAAAAAGACAGTATTGGGTTTGCAATTATCTCCTGCAGGGAGAAGGTGCCAACACGTTCCCCGTTGACAAACCACGGCGACTGCGAGAGATCACGCTTCATCTTGCGGTAGTTGCCAATCAACAGGATATTAGAGTGCTGCAAACTGCAGCATAGCGTTGCGGTTTCCTCCACCACAAAGTGCCTCACATGTTCTCCCGCGGCTTCAGTATTGGCCCACCAACCACTTTTTTCTAGATACGGTTGCACATAGTCGTACAGAACGCTATAGGTTATCATGCCCTCGCAGCGGTTACTACAATACTGTGGTGGAACCGCATCCCCACCCGCGAGATCCTTCAGACGATGGTGCTCGCAGCAAATGTCCACAACGACTCCCTCGTTCTCTGGACTGTACGTAAAAGCTTGCAGGGTTTGAGGCTCTGTCCCGCCAGACGCATACTTGCAGCGACGCTCAATCTCCCGTAGATATGTTTCATATCCCACAGGCGTTTTTTTATCTTTTATCGCCGAATGCGGATACATGGTGTACTGCAGAATTCGCGCCCGCAAATCACTCATAAAAAAGTCCTTAAAGTTACAATGCTCCTCAGGAATGACGGCGAAAGGTTTCGGACGAGTACCCTCACGACCACGAACACCGTAAAATACGGCAGATACCATCAGCCACAAAAGAGAGAGAGAACGGTGCACGTTGACATTGACAGAAAGACAGTCCGAATCGGTGTAGGGACTCGTTCGAACCGCTGCGGCTACAGCGGGTGCATAGACGTAGTCTATGAACTGGTACAGTCCCAAGCACGCACAGCAAAGAAAAGGCAACCTTTGACACCACACCACATCCATTGTGTTCTCCCTCATCAAATCGAGAAAACGCAATGCACTCCTTGGAGTCTCATATACAATGAAAAAATGCGGATGAAATATATCATCGACAAACGGTGTCCCATCGCTGTTAGAATTTCCCTCATCCCCACCGTCATTAAGCTGGCATACCTGTGACAACGGTGCTGGAGGTGGCACCTGATGCATGATGGACATTCGTAAGGCGCATGCGTAACACAATGCGTCCCTTGGCTCCATGATACCCTGCAGTGTCACTTTCACACTAAGCACCTTCAATCAATACCAAAAAAAAAATAAACAAAAATAAAACATTAAGTTTGGCTGACAGTAAAACTTCTGCCCTTAGCCGCAGTGGGAATAATTGGCATTCTCCTTCAATGCTTCGTATTGAAGGTGGCACTGACGCCTGTCAATGTCGTTAATACAATTATATTGACCAGAGAAAAAATAAAAGTCAAAACAAAAAAAAATAGGGCCTCAAAAAAAATCAGTCTCATATCCCTAACAAATAAAAAAAAATAATACTAAAAACCAGACAAAACAAAGCCAAACCAAACAATTGTGGTCAAAATAAAGCGTGTCTGCATTACAAACATTGTGTAACTGTATTCACGAAGAAACCAATCCAAATCATCTTAAGCATCTAAAGCCCAACCCCCCACCCTTATTTTACTCCATTTCCTTTTCCTCCTAATTTTCTTACTTCCTTCGCTCGCTTGCTGGGGTTCTAAGATGCT